TGGGGAAAAAATAGACAAAGTGGTAGGAGGTTGGAAAAATCTAGGGAAGAGGTAACATGGGGAGGGGGTCGTACTTGAAGATGGAATTAGGGGGGGTCGTATTTTTCAGGAAATGATCACAACGCAATGGCGTGCCCTGGCAGAAGCTCGACCTGCTACAAGGTTATAAGTTTAAGTGGTCAGACAGCGCATAGTACCCACAAAAACTGCGCGTGAAGCGGCAGGAAGCTCCAGGGTGGGGTTGCCGTCCAGGCAACGGCCCGCCCGACCCCGGCAGGTACCTAATCGCGCGGTTAGGTAACAGTACTCCACGCAAAGAATCCGGATGGGCCATTTAGTGACACAATTGAACTCACGCGCAATTTTCGGAAGTACTGTATGCACGTTGACAACCTGGACTTATGGTACGATCGCCCTGCATTGCTAACCGTAACCCTGGTTTCAGACACAGTGTTTTTAAATGCTCATTTTTCATCTGGCTTTGGATGGAATAGTACTAGAGGATGCGATGAAACGCTTTCACAGAGGCGTCTAGTTCATAAACCGTAGCTACAGGGTGTTAAGACGTGGTACATTGAGGCGTGAACTACAAGGAAGGGTTTCCTTTGAGACGTTCTCAGTGATTTTCCTTGCATTTCTCTCAACTGGGAAGTCACTTATGGGCTGCTAGCTCCCAACTGAACGTCGACTACTCGTAATGCTTGGTTGCGGATTTGTCTTAACGAAACTAATCGCAGGCTCATTTACAGGCAAGTAACTGCGAGTGACGCCATTACAAACCTCGCGGCCAAGTTCTAAGAATATGCAAAAAGGAATTGGTCACAGCAGCTCTCGTGTATGACTCCTGGTCGTTACCGGCTGCGCTCTAGGGCCACGTTATCCGATGCTTTACTCGTAAGCAAGGACGCTTCCACGCTTTTATGCGATAGCGTTTACGCCAACAAGGCTGAGAGAAAGCCCTCCATAACTCTATATAGAGAATCGTTTCGCAAATTCGGAGGAAATTAATCTGTGCTTTAGCGTCCAACACAAGTCGCTCGAATAGTACCGAGGGAGGCGGCAAAAGAGACGTCCCTTTCGGCGTTCATTGACTTCGTTCTTCTATTATAATACAACACACTCCTTACGTATGAAATTCTGCATTCAGCGACGGCAGAAGACCATTCAGTCACGCTCAAGCGTCGATTGAAATGGAGAGCGGTATTAAACACTATCGAGTGGCACTCCTCCAACAGGTCTCTGAGACAGCGCCACTCGAGCAATTCTGACAAGCTAGTGATCCGCGATGTGGCTGCCTGAGATCGGCGAGATTAGTCGATTGTCTCCGCTCGACCGTAGATCACCTATTGAACCTGCCGCCTGAAACGCGGGTATTGATGGGGCTCGGTGCAGGTGACCTACTTGGATATTCATCTTATCTTTAGGGTAACTCACCGCCGCTTCCATTTCCAAGTAGGCCCGAGTGTTCTCTGCCCCAACCCTCTTCGATGTCATGTGGTGGCACCCAGAGCTGTAGCAGTACAAAGTTTCCAAGAAGGTAGGGGGGACGACATGAGGAGATATCCTTCACGAGTTGCCCAATGTAAGCCGCCAGCGCTCACGCTTTCAGCTCCGGGGTCCACGAAGAAATAAACATTGGTCTTTCCAATCACAGGTTTCGCTACCTGGTCGCATCCCCCATCCAACCTGGCCGCGCGCCTTGGCGCCCTGCGGTGAGAGAAGTATGATTTCCTAGACCGTGGGCGACCGTTGTCGCCAGCTGCTCGATGTTGGAGGTCATTCTCCTCGAAATCGAGGCTGGTCCCAGGTAGCTATCTCAGGGTGATCTCCATGCTAGAAGTTTCGCAGTCTGCCTTGAAAATGCTGACATAAATGTCGCCAGGGTCATGCAGGTGCGATCTGTGAGATGACTTTCGATCTATTTTTGGTGTACATGAAAGGTGATGGGCGAGAGCCAGCTCCTGCTTATCGAGGAACATCTTGGGTATCTTCCGCCCTGGTACTCGTATCCACGTCCTCTGTCTGGGCAGCGAAAACTTTGCTGATATGTGACTCGGTCGAAGTGACTTTTTTTGCCCCCCCCCCTGTATACATTGTAAATGGTCGGACTGACTTGTTAACCTGAACACCGACATCGAGCAATTTTACCTATAACACTGTGGATAGCTAATTCTGAGCGTAATATGATTGAGATAACACACCTGTCCTACGTAGGCTTCCAACGACATTCCGTCCACGGCGCGCTCTCCACTTGAAAACCAAATCTTAAAAATGCATGTCAGTATAATCTGGAACCATTCAGCAAATCAGTGGAAAATCTTCAAAAACTGAAAGTAGTACAGCCAGCGAATGCGTTGTAAATTTCAGGACATGAATCAGAAAAAAAGAAAGCTCTGGTCAAAAGGAACAATAAGTGGCCTCTTTAGATGGGCGTGTCCATAGAAACATCGTTTTGGATCGAGGAGGACTCGATTTGTGAATGGTGAACATTCTCAACATTTTCATGAATTAGAGAGAAGTCATCATGACTTCGCTGGATGGGCGTACCCAGAAAACGACGTCAAGAGTCAACCTCTGCCTTCTTCAGCTTTATGGAGGGGCACGTCAGTGACGCCAGACTTGCTAACTTAGCCCCCCCCCCCACCTCGTCAAACCTTTACACTCTCTTCAGCGCCGAGAATAAGAAAAATCAGTTTACTTTATCAGGCAAAACACTTTTTTAGCTAGATGGTAAATACTTCGACTCACCTTCATCAGGCGCTGCACTGAAATACCAACTCGCGTTTTTTGCAATCCTTCATCGGTCTCATTAATGTCCTTATCCAGCGCCAGTTTAGTGGCAGACGAGCTCAAGTACTGAAGATTTTCGCAGATGATAAAAAAGAACTCAAGGATAACAGGTAACAATATTTAAAATAGAAAGTTTACAAAAGTGACGCCGGTGAAGCAGAACTGAAACACACTTTGTGACCAAATGGCCGCTTGAAAAAAGTGACTTCGCTGTCACTGAACATGAAGTCGAAGAACAACGTTGCTATACCCATCCAAATTATGTCCACCACTAACATCACCAAAGCCGCTCCAGCAGTAAAACGGAATGAAGCTTCTTCAAAACAATTGGACCACGACAATTCACGTCCTAAAACGAATAATCATTCTCTATTTATGCGATTTGCACTAGGATATACTTGCCTCGATTCATGTAATCGGCAAATGTCTTCAGAGCGTAAGAGAAAGCAGCGTTTGGATTCAGCGAGTAAAGAGTGCAGAAGAAAATATGGTTGACATGAGGGGCTTGAAATGGTGCCACAACCAGTAACACCCACAAAACGACCACCACTAAATCAACAGGTAAATGCAGAACCTTCTCTCCAACAAAGAAAAACTTGGAGGAGATCTTGACTCAAGGTCCTGGCTAGCTCGCCCTATATCCACTGCTGCCTTCAATGTAAAGTTTTCAGTTTCCCGCTGAAAATGACATCTTCACTCTCGCTGAAAGGCAGGTACTGGACGGGCGAGGCACGATCTAGGACTAGATCTGCGCCAAATTCCGCATAGTTTAACATTTCTCGTGCATAATTTGCTCGTTCTCTTTGAATAGTAAGGTACCTTTGAGGACAGTGTTTGGTGACTTGAACAGAGATGATATTAGCGTAGCGAATACAACTGCTGATATACCGTACAATATAATCGTGACAAGAAACAGCGACATGCTCACCGGCTGAAAATAAGTGGATAGAGCACCTTGCTAGCTTGAAAAAAATCTCAGACTGTGATCTGGGAGTAAAAGCAGAAAGACATCTCCTGATCCTAACTCACCTAGGATTTGCGGAAATGTCATTATCATGCTAGATGGCACGTCATCCTCCTCTCAACTGGTAAGGACATTTGCTCCAGCTGCTCCTCTAACTGATAAGTAAACACAGAAACTCACTCCCAACTTAGTGCTGAGTGGAATAGCACATACTAACAACACCAGGAAGCATTTTATGCTGGCGTAAAGCACATGTGAAAGGTAGAAAACTGGTGTTGAAAGACCCATTACGGACAGGAAATCCTGAACTGCGGGTGAAAGATTCACTTCAGAGTAATGATATTCAGAATGCTTTGAAATTACCTTTACTGTACTCCTTTCACTGGCTATTTCTCTTGCAGTATGAATAACCAGTACAAAGACGCAAAGCCCCCAGAAATACGATGAGTAACCGAAGAAAGCCGCCATAGTTGTGGTCTCATAAGCAGCCTCGGGTAGCCGTCTGAGGCGTAATTCTGGTGAGAGAGTCACATTGGATGAGGAAGCCTAAAAACGCTCAGTCAAAATGAGCGCCGCTTCGAAAGTAGTCCTTTTCTATACAAACCTCGATGAACAGGCTATCAATGGCGTACTGGAGTGTTAGAAAACCAGAACCCCAATACGGGGGCTTCACAGGAATCCTAAGCATGAAATGTGCTCGACTTCAGTTGAAAATCTTTTCACATCTCACCGGAAACGGTCTGCAGTGACTCCGAATGGATCATTCCATTCTTGGTCAAGATGCCAAGGATCCTCATCAATGAACTCAGTGGGCATTAATAAAGCATAATCAAGCTTTCCAGCTTGCGTGTCAAACTGCTTGAATAGCACCCCGCCTGCATACCTTAATGGAAACAGAATTCACCGATACCACCATCATACAGGGAATTGAGTATGATCGGCAGAATTACAAGATCTATAAGCTTATTCAAAGACTAACTTTTCAATGACGCATCCAAACATCACATCATCAGGAGTGTCAGAACGAAGTTGGTCGATCATGTAACTAACATCTTTCATCTTCTCCACTTCAACCACTGTAGTTGAGCCATTGTATCGCATCGCCAAATCGTTCATCAACATTTCCACAGAGTCCTCGTTTTCTCGAGCACCATAATGAGATCAGTTACTGGGGACAATGTCATAATCAATTAAATCGTGCTGCAAGCTCATTTTCTATCACATAACACTAAAATGTTGCGAAACTCACAAGTATGCTATTGTGGCTCGGTCGAGATCGCACCATCGTTTTTTTATAGAACCTAGAACAAGTCGGCGATCGACATCTCCTGCGCCGCCCTCAAGAGGTACAGCTTCGAAAGATCTACTCGGCGACGAAGCCATGGATTTGTCCTGTAAAAGAAACTGACGTTCGAAGTGAAAAGCATAAGTTATAAAGTTTTAGGTGTGCGAGTAAGTCGCAATCCGTCGCCCACTTTCTAAGAGCGAGACAGTATGCAATACAATCTACATATAGGGGGGGGGGGGGAGGAGAACAAGCTTAAACGCACTTCAGGCCACATTGGATCTACTGTTTTAAACCTATGGTAGGTCTTCTTGCAGAATGGTTATCGGGAAACCTGGGTATCTTCCGTTCTAGGGCATCTCCGCCCTGGTACCCGTATCCACGTCTTCTCTCTGGGCTGCGTAAACTCTACTGATATGTGACTCAGCCAAAGTGTCTTCTTTACTGTACCCCCCCCCCCCTTGGAACATACGTCAAAGGGTTTCGCAGTGAATCAGTGAGATATTCATGTTCAGCGGGCCAAATTGCATTTGGCGATAAGTTTCTGGTCAATTAGAAACAAAGAAAAAC